CTCTAGTTTGGCGCATTGTCATTTTTGTTTTTTCATGAAACTCTTCAAGCTACACATGTGTATGTTCAACTGAATTAATATTTACATAGAATAAACTGATTATTTGATTTATCACAATGTTCTCATCAGTAATTAATGGATCGATTTCACGAAATTCATTTATTATGTACGAATAATTTGTAGGTAAAATTTCTGCCAATGGTCCCATAAGATCAGATCCCAAAACAGGCTATAAAATTTAAAACAATAAATATTAAAGATATTAACTGTTAAGCCTTTTCAAGCTTTAATTACATATTACTATAATATCACCTTTTCAATATTCGTATCAAAATTAAAATCAGCTTCCAAAGACGAAATAAGGCTTAACGGCTCTATAGTTTCTTTATTACATATTTTATTTATATCCATATCTGCTGTTTACAACTGTTCTGCAGTGACTAGCGTATCGTTTCAACAATTATGAAAATCTTACTCAGCGCAAAGACTCAAAGTCAAACAGAGAAAGGTAATTTCTTAAAAATAGCCTTTATATACTCGTAATCTAGTTTACCTATTTTAGTATCTTTAAATATTGATTTTTGAAACATGCATGAAAATTACATCACACATCAGAGCAGAGAATAAAATACAAGTTTATTACCAGCTAGAACTGCATATTATATAAAAATTGTATTGTTCATATATATTTTTGTAAAATTTAAGTTTATTAAGTACGTACATAACATTATTTGACCTCATAATTTCTAATTTGAGACAATAATATATATTGGTACTTCTATATGGTATTACCTTCAAGGTACCTATTTTTCTACAATACAGTATTGGTTTAACATAAATTATGGATGCCACCAAACACAGTAGTCCTATTATTATTTTTCCACATAAGCTAATTTAAAGAGCGGTTGAACATAAGTAGTAGTGTTGCCTGCAGAACTATCTTAAATAGAATCACTTTTTTATTTATGAAATTTTTTTATTAATCAAATTGCTTATAAAGAAATAGATCATGTCACACCTTATTTCTGCTCATAACCTCAAATGCTAAGAACGGAGTAATGAAATCTGAAGTGTATGGTGCATCTACAGAATCTTAAATTCGATTGGTCAGTGTAACTATATCTACCGCATATTGTAAATTTTTACAAATTGTATACCCACAATTTTTTTTCCTGCAATAAATGATTTTAAGGGCAACCACTTTATACATTTTCGTGTTGCGCATAAAGCGGATTGTATAAAGCTATACATGTTTATAATGATCTGCTTTAATACAAGCCAGCTGTCATAAGAAGAAATTCATTTAATTTGCTAGTGTAAATTACTTATAGCTTCAACAAAATGTTAACGTTTACTATACAAAAGAACCAAAAAAGGCTAAACATCTAAAAAAACTGTTGATAATATACACGTACCATTTATTGGACTATATCAATTTATACTGTGAAATGAGGTAACTAGAA